TAGAAATATTGTTTATAATAATTTAATGTTACGGGTTACCTTTCATTTGAATGGTTTCTATTAATACAGTTTAAAAATACATTTAACCAAATGATAGATTCAAGAAACAAACCATAAAGAAAGACTGAATTTTAGATTCGTGCCTAGAGCTATGTTATTAAAAAGCTTGAGAATTTATAGTTATTCTTTTTCACAACATGACTTCAGCAAATGACTCAGATTTGTATTGCAAAACAAGCACGGCTCCTTCCCATTCTTTCAACCACCGAAATATGACAAATTTCATTTTTTTTTTTTTTAAGTAACAAAAATAAATTACACTGCATGATGAAGCGTAAAAAATGTAGTATGAATGAATCCTTTTTCTTTCTAGAAAAACATCCAAACATGAAAGAAATGTATGAAACTTTGTGGTTTCTTTTATGTTCATCTCAATGGGATATATCGAATTAACGTAGGAATGCAAAAAATATTAGTAATTTGAAAACGTCGTCGATATATCTAAATGTCGTTTAAAGGGCCACGGCAAGAGAGCTTTTCTTCAAGATGGGTTTTTGAATAAATTCTGCTTCACAGAAATACTCATTAATGTAGGTCCCCATGGCATTGCAAAAGACAGAATATTAAATGATAGGTAAAAGTCAGGAAAGAGAAAACTTTACATCATATTAATACATATATTATTGATAAGCAGGAGTGCTTTTCAGTTTCTTATGTACCTTGAAAAAAGTCGATTCTGTAAAATGAATAATTAACTTAATTTTCAGGAATATCCTTTGGGGATCAAATTGCAGAAAAAAAATATTTAAAAGAGGAAATAGGCGACAAAATATGATTTATTACACAACAACAAAATTTTGAAATCTAAAGACAAACTTCAAGGTACCAAAAAATAGATTCTGAAAATTGAAGACAAACACTATTTTACAATTCAAAAATGATATAGCGACGTTAGAAAACAAAAACCTGTGGTACAATTTAGGACGGGAATACTGAAATGAAAAAGGTGAGGATCAAAGACTAACACTCTGGTATAACCTAAGACAGAAATACTGAATATCAAAGACAAACACTGTACTATTTAAAGAAAAAGACACTAAGCTATAACCACGTCTCTATATGAGTGAACAATTCTCAAATGAGAAATCAAGCGACATACAATCAATCAATCTAAGCAATAACTTAAGAGTTAAATACAAAAATAAGTACAGAAAATTAAAAAAAAAATAAACACTAACGTCTAAGAAAGAAAAACTAAGAATTGCTTATACTAATTCATATGCATGTTTTACTGAGCAGTGCACTATATAAAGTAAGAAACCTGTCAATTTCACAAGATGAACCTACACCTTTCAGTTTACTGTATAGACACTGAAAGAACTTGAAAAGTAAGTGAAGACAAAACAATTGTGATCAGAGCAAACATGGACCTTGGAAAAATAGAGGTGGGATCAGCTGCCATGGAGAAATACTCATCCCCTTGCTAAATGTCACATCCTGTAAAAGATACCACAGAGTCTGACACATCTGTTTCATATTTGGATATTTTAATTGAAAAAGACGTTGATGGTAATCTAACAATCAAGCTTTATGATAAACGTGATTACTTTTACTTTTCAATCGTCAACTTCCCTTACTTATGCAGCAATATACCTTCATCACCTGCATACGAGAAATATCTCTCTCAGTTGATTCGATACGCAAGAGCATGCTCTACGTATGTACAATTTCTAAAACGAGGTAAATTATTGACAAACATGTTGATGAAACAAGAATATCAGCTGTCTCGTTTAAAGTCATCATTTCGTAGGTTCTATGGTCGATACAATGACCTTGTTACCAAATACAATTTATTATTGAGTCAAATGCTGACTGACGTTTTTCATACTAATTGTTAGGCCATTATTTGCACACTGAATTGTCGACGGATTTTTCCGTTATTTTTCCGTTATTTCCCGATCATGACAAGGAGCACACGGCGGGTGTGACCGGTCGGCAGGGGATGCTCACTCCTCCATGGCACCTGATCCCACCTCTGATGTTTGGAAGTCCGTATTTGCTCTGCTCCTATTTTGTATTGTTTGATGGACTTTTGAGCCTGAATACTGTTCGTTATCTTCATATATTTCATCCACCTTGTGCTTCTTGTCATGATCGGGTGAACAGATTAAATATAAATAGACAATTCAATGTAAAAATAATAGCCCATCATTTGTACGAAAATTGTTAGTCAACATTCGATCTATCGAAAGATCGTATTTGCAGAGATGGTAATGGTATCGACCATAGAATATGCGAAACCTGAAATCCTTGTATCTTCAACTAGCTTGGTCCCTTTTAGAAATTATTAACATGCTCTTGCTATCCAATCAAGGGGGATACATAAACACCATACGCGTATACAGGCGACAATGGTATATTGCTATATAAACAAGGGTAGTTATCGATATAGGAAAAAAATTGAGATCATCACGTTTACCCTTAAGTTTAGTCGTTAGTTGATTTTTCTCCCTAGCAAAACATCCAAATATGAAAGAAATTTATAAGACTGTTGTTTCTTTATTTTGATCTCAATGGGATATATTGAATTAACGTTGGAACGCAAATAAATATTGTTAATTTTAAAACGTCGCCGATATAACTAAATGTCGTTTAAAGGACCATGTCAAGAGAGCTTTTCTTCGAGAGGAGATTTTGACTAAGTTCTGCTTAATAGAAATACTCATTCATGTACATCCCCATGGCATTGCAAAAGACAGAATGTTACATGATAGGTAAAACTCAGGAAAGAGAAAACTTTACATCACATTAATCCATATATTATTGATAAGCAGGAGTGCTTTTCAGTTTCTTATGTACCTTGAAAAAAGTCGATTCTGTAAAATGAATAATTAACTTAATGTTTAGGAATATCATTTGGGATTATTTTACAGAAAAAACATGATATTTAAAGGAGAAAATCGGCGATAAAATATGATTTATTAAACAGCAATGAAATAATGAAATCTAAAGACAAACTTCAAGATACCCCCCCCCCAAAAAAAAAAAAACAAAACAAAACAAAACAAAAACTGAGAATTCAAGACAAACTCAACGATACAACTCAAAAATGATATAGCGAAATTCAAGACAAAACACTGTGGTACAATTTAAGACAGAAATTATACTGAAATGAAAAAGGTGAAGATCAGAGACAAACGCTCTGGTATAACTTAAGACAGAAATACAGAAAATCAAAGACAAACACTGTGGTAATTAAAGTTAAAACACTAAGCTATAACCACATTTCTATGTGAGTGAAAAATTCTCGAATGGGACGTTAAACAACATAAAATCAATCTGAGCTATAAGCTATAAGAGTTAAATACATAAAACAAGCACTGAAAATAAAAAAAAAAAAAACACTAACGTCTTTAGAAAGAAATACTTAGAATTACTTCAAATTCAAACGCATGTTTTACTGATCCGTGCACTATATAAATTAAAAAAAAAACTGTCGATTTCACAAGATGAACCTACACCATTCAATTATCTGTATGGACACTGATAGAACTTGAAAGGTTAGTGAATGACAGAGCTTCTTTAGTAGATTTTCAGTCACATTTCAGTTAATTGAATGGCAGAATTTTATCCGATGTGTGCAAATTCCCCACACCGGTTTTTATCTTTACCGTGACAACAGATTGTAAATTCATTTGTCAAATTATTCGATCTCAACAAATAATTCTGAACTTAATGTCGATGCTGGTAAGATGTTCATTAATCATGAACATTTCCATGAAAATTTCCATATTTTCATACAGTACATTTCCATGAAAATCACAATATCAAAAAAAAAAAAAAAAAAAAAAAAAAAAAAAAAAAAAAAAAAAACCAAGCAGAAATATGACGTTAAAAACTAGATTCAGCTAAATAGCTTCAAAATTTTGTGGCATTTGCTAATAATCAACAGAGTAGCCTTTTAATATCTATATTTAAATTCACATTAATCGGTGACAACATAAGGGAATAAGACCGGATAAATAACATTGTTCTATAATACGTCAAAGTCAATAGCATAAGTACATTATCAGATAAAATTCAATACATTACACTATTAGACGATTTCAAAAACAGCAAAACATCATAAAATAATATTTAAAAATTGCTAAATAAGACAGAATCAATGCAACATTACATACATCATGATATCAATTCATTATCTTTTTAATATTAAAAAGGTAAGTAAAACCTGGCCCAAAGACCATAAACTGAGAATGGACTTAAGTCAAAATTTAGATTTTTAATATGTAGAGTTTTATTTAATGTTTTTGCGTAAACATTTGGTATTTTATATAACATTTAAACCCAAATATATGAAGAAAATTTTGTTTAATTATCAAAATTATTTCAAAAGTTATATTGGTTTGAAATTTTGACTTAAGTCTCTTCTGAGTTTATAGTCTTGGTGCCTGGTGTTATAAGAAAAATCTAATAATATCATTACATAACAGTAAAACAACATACTTTGTGAGAAATACTATCAAAAAGTATCTTTTAACTCTCCGTCATCAGTAACTGGGATATCAAGCACATTCAAAATCATCATGAATCACAGTACGTGACGCTTCATCATCTTTTATTTCACAGTGTATTCAAGGAATAGACGTCACGTTATATACTTTGTGAGGTTTTTATCACGAGAGTCACCTTTATCTCACTGTTATTAGTAATTGGGATATCGATTACACGTCATAAACATCATACACCACAATTATTAGTGAGGCTTTATAATCATGTAACAAACTCTGCGAGGCTTTATCATCATGATGGAGAGTCTCCTTTATCTCAGTGTAACCATTCATTTAGGATATAGGGGTTTTATCATCATGTAATACACTTAGTGAGGTTTTATTATCACGAGAGTCTCCTTTATTTCAGTGTTACCAGTAACTTAGGATATATAGAGGCTTTATCATCATGCAATACACTTAGTGAGGTTTTATCATCATGTAATACACTTAGTGAGGTTTTATCATCATGAGAGTCTCCTTTATCTCAGTACCATATTGGACTGTTGGATACCAGGGACTGAGCCAGTTCTCAGACGACCAGAGACCATTTAGGTAGGTGGAATGGCAGGAGTTAAACCACCAACCCCCTCTCCAGTTAGCAGCACAGTGATATCCAGCCCTGTCATTGTCTCTGTCCGGGGTACTAAAGTACATCCCAGAGGCAAAGTCGTCACTATAACCAGTTAATAACATCCTGTCACCTATACCATAAACGAAAAAGATATAATGCAGAGTGACTTCACTGTTATTAATGCCAACAAAAACAAGGGCAAAAAAGCAGCAATGGTTGGCCAAATAAATCAGCATAAAAGATAAAATTTTGACTTCAAATTTTTCAATTATTGAGCTTTCTTTCAGATTTTTCATGAGCCACTTAATTTCGATTAAAATATAATATTTATTCTTGTATGCGGAAAGAAAAAAAACTTAAAAGCGTTTAATGAACTCTCTCTCTCTCTCTCTCTCTCTCTCTCTCTCTCTCTCTCTCTCGTCTGTCACGCACCTAAGGTTCCAGTTACTGGTCCTCCAAGAGAAAGTTTGTATTTGTTTGATGAACACTCTCTCTCTCTCTCTCTCTCTCTCTCTATCACGCACCTAAGGTTCCAGTTACTGGTCCTCCAAGAGAAAGTTTGTATTTGTTTGATGAACTCTCTCTCTCTCTCTCTCTTTCTCTCTCTCTCTCTCTCTCTCTCTCTCTCTCTCTCTCTCTCTCTCTCGTCTATCTATCACGCACCTAAGGTTCCAGTTACTGGTCCTCCAAGAGAAAGTTTGTATTTGATGAACTCGAACTCTCTCTCTCTCTCTCTCTCTCTCTCTCTCTCTCGTCTATCTATCACGCACCTAAGGTTCCAGTTACTGGTCCTCCAAGAGAAAGTTTGTATTTGTTTGATGAACTCGAACTCTCTCTCTCTTCTGTCACGCACCTAAGGTTCCAGTTACTGGTCCTCTAAGAGAAAGTTTGTATTTGTTTGATGAACTCTCTCTCTCTCTCTCTCTCTCTCTCTCTCTCTCTCTCTCTCTCGTCTATCTATCACGCACCTAAGGTTCCAGTTACTGGTCCTCCAAGAGAAAGTTTGTATTTGTTTGCCTCATCAGAGACAGAGAACTGATGATATAATTCATATAACTTTTTGCCACTCTGTAATGTGATGGACACGTACAAGGATGAGTTCCGTCCCTTGGTTAAGCGGTGAATCACATCATTTCCTTTAATATTTAATGTATCAATATCTTAGTTATCAAACATGTTTATTTCAGGATCAATGTAGTATAAAACAACACAATTCTAGCCTTTTTGAAGAGGTCAATCTCTAGATATATAGACCTTAGTAAAAGCAGGTATCAAATGCGGGGTCGATATGGTTTCTATAAAGTCTACATATCTAGGGATTTTTTCGAATCAAAAAACTATATTTATTTTATTATTTTTCATATCAGAAATATCTTTAAAGTCGAGGGACCCGTTTTACAAAAGAACTTACGACTGAGACCAAAAACTTTAGTTAGTTGTAAAATTTTGCAAAAGAAATGATTCTGTTTAAAATTGCTGTCGTAAAATTATCTTTCTACATTCCTTTTTAAAAGATTAAAACATTTTCATTTTAATGTAAATTAGAAAGTTATAAGAAGAATTGATTTTTAGTCTTAGTCGTAAGTTATTATGTAAAACGAGCTCCATGTTTGTAATACCCAATGATTTTACTCATTTAAGGCTTTGTTACGTAATATTCATTAAGACGACACAATTACAAATTAGAAATGAAGATCAGCGGCCCTTTTTGCAAAAAAAAAAAAAAAAAAAAAAAAGACTAAGACAAACATTTTCCCATTCCTAAGTAAGCATCTAGTCTGTAATGGGACACAGAAATACCTTCTATTTCTATTACAATAGATTGTGTTGTAAAAAAAATTACGAAAAAAGAATGTATATGTATTTTTAAAATAAAAGAATACATAGTTGTCAAATTTTTCCTTAGTCGTAATTTTTTTTGGTAAAAAGGGCCACTGGGTTTTTAAAAACTGCCAGTTTGTATTAATAATTGTGATGTCACCACAATTATTGCTTCACAAAAGATTGTTCCCAATTTTTGAAACATCGGGTTTATAAGCTTTTTAGTATCTTAGAATAGAACCACCCAGCTAATAAGATATCTTATACATGATTACGTGATCTACTTTGAGCCAATCAGATATCTGGGAACGATAGAGAAAAATAACAAAAGCAAGAAAATTGCTCCGAACAATATTATTATCACATATTTATGTTAGTAATATGAGTGTTCAGTTATTGCATTGTTGGGATTAAATACGATAATTTAAACACTCAAAATATGATGAAGTTAATTTGTGACATAGTATAGAAATAAAAACTGAAATTTGCACACTTAAGTAAACAATTGTTCACTAAAGAATGCACTTCACTCTAGATACTAATGTTCACTTAAGATATAAACAAATACAAAAAAATATACCAATCCAGTAAGAGTCTGCCGGGTTACCGAAACCTTTTCTGTACTCCTCCCACGATTTATCAAAACTCACAGATCCGCTCATCCTTTTCTGAATAACCTATCAATTTCCATTCATTACTTGAAGTGTCATTTATTGCTATAGATTTAAAACTAAAAATGTGCTAAAAGGCAAATAGGGCAGATAAGCTACTCCTCAAGAATTATGCTAAAAATGTATCTGTTTATCTAGATATTGTTTTAAGAATGAAATGTTCTATAATAATCATTGAACAATGATACCTTTTAGAAAAAAAAGTTATTTTAAATTCCAATGAAAATATATTTTACAAAATCTATCATGTTATGATATGAGAAAATATAAAACAACCTGGAAAATACTACACTGGAAAAAGGGAAAAACATTGCTTTTATTTGTTCGCAATATTTTAGATTTTTTCTATAGGAGGAAGACTTGCGCATGTTTTAATTAAGAAATAAACAACAATGTTTAAAAATTCAATGGGAAATGAACTTGGTTGGTCACGTTATCAAATCCTGTGAAACCCGAAAGGGCTTCTCCATAGATTTGATCACCTACCAACCAAGTTCATTTCCCAGTGAACTTTTTATCATTTTTGTTTATTTCGTATATACTTACATTTGAGGTGATCAATTAGAATAAAATATTACAGGAATGGCCAGCCGTATCACTATATTGTGACACGCAGTGACGTAGAAGTTGTTTGGCCTTGAAAGTTCGCTAAGCTCCAACATTTGAATATTTACATGGATGTTTATCTAATTCAGGAAATTTCTGTTTATAATAATAGAACAATGTTCGGTGCTGAGAATAATCTGACTATTTTATGAGTTCTTCACATATGTGAAGTCTAAAGCGGTCGTATCATCTGTTTCAGTTTCAGTTTCATCTGTTTCAGTTTATCTACCTTCAAAAGAATTTCGGGTTAAAAAGGTGAGGTATTCTTCACACCGAAGGTAGATCTTATGGACATCTGGTGATTGACAAAAATATCTATATGTGTCAATTATTTTATCTATTCTGTCTCTATCAGTTAGAATTTCCGAAAGCAGTTTCACTGTGATAGAAATATGTAGGCAAGATATTATTTCGCCGTGTGATTCGCTCACGTTATGACCCCTGACCCCATAATAAGTTCATACAGAATTGAACATATTTTCTCTTCAATAGGTTAATCTAAAAAATATTTGCAAATGTAAATGTTCTTTAATGATTTATGATGAACGTGATGACTTCAACTTTTCAATGGTCAACTTCACTTACTTATGTAGCAATGTACCTTTATCATCTCTTTCAGTTGATTCGATACCCTCTACGTACTCAACAGTTTCGTTTGAAGTCATCATTTTGCAAGTTTTTGGTCGATACAATGACCTTGTCAGCAAATACAACCTATCATTGATTCAAATGCTGACGTTTTTCGTACTAATTGTTAGGCCATTATTTACACACTCTGTTGTCTACGGTTTTCCCCCCATTTTTTCCCGATCATGACAAGGACCGGACGGACCGGTCAACAGAGGATACTCACTCATCCAGGGCACCTGTTCCCACCTCCAAGATTGCTCTGCTCCGGATTTGTATTGTTTGAATAGACTTTTGAGCTTGAATACTATTCGTTATCTCCATAGTTTTCATCTATCAATCTCTCAGAAGGATGTAACTGAATTATTATGTTAGAATATGAATACGAAAAGGAGATTCTTTTTTTTGCAAATCAATCCGATAAAGGTATATTTTCATTCTCTGCTACACCTGATATTTATTTTAGATATGAATATATTTCTTATACAAATCAGAAACTATGCGATCATATTTGCATGATTATGAACTCAAATTTATTAGCTTAATAGTGTTTTAAAATTTCTAAAAATGATCAATTGATATAAATACATGTTACCAAAAATTAGGGAAAGGTCACTAAGAAATTGAATGTAACAAGAATAGGAATGAAAGACAGAACGGAATCTGACCAATCTGTTTGGTGTTAGGATATTTTAATAGAAAAAGATATCAACGGCAAACTAATAACATATCTTTGTGATAAACATACTGACTTCAACTTTTCTATCGTCAACTTCCCCTTTTTATAGAACAATATATCATTATCAACTGCATATGGCGTTTATGTATTCTATTTTATTCGATACACCAGCGCATGCTTTACGTACTAACAATTTCTAAATCAAGGCAAGCTATTGATAAACAAGTTGATGAAACAAAGATATCAAAAGTCTCGTTTGAAGTCAACATTTCGCAAATTCTTTGATCGAAACAATGACCTTGTTAGCAAATAAAATCTATTGTTAAATCGAATGTTGACCTATGCTTTTCTTGCAAATTTCAAGGGTAGCCGGGGTAGCGCAGTGGTTAGAGCGTTTGCTGTAGAGTCGCTGAGTAATGAGTTGATCCTTACGTCGCGGGTTCTAATCCCACTGTAGGATTTGAAGATTGGTCCTTTGGATGAGCCCGTATAAACCCAGGTCCCTAGTTGCAGTAGGTGCTAGCACAAAAAAGATACCTCACTGTTCAAAGTGCCGAGTATAGGGTTAAAATTTGGAGCTCTCCACCGGCAAATGGTGGCGTCTCCGAATGAGTGAAAAATTCTCGAAAGGGATGATAAATAAACAAACAAACAAATTTTTAGGCCATTATCTCTAAACTGAACTGTAAAATTTTTTTACCGATTCCCGATCATGACAAGGAGATCACGGCTGGGGTGACCGGTCGAAAGGGGTTGATTTCTCCTCCAAGGCATCTAATACCACCTCTGATGTATAAAGGTCCGTGATTGCTCTGCTCCAAGTTGGTATTATTCTGATTGACTTTTGACCTTAATTGCGTTTTCGTTTTCTTCATTTTTCATCATCAAAGAGACCGTTGAAAGACAATTGAAAGATTATAAAATTTGTTAACTGTCTTCACGGAAAGTCTACGACTGAGACATTACTTACATGTGCAATAGTATGATTTACTGTTTTGTCAATAAAATGCATATCTGAAAATGGTGAAGATAACGAACAATGATTGACCCCCCCCCCCCCCCCCCAAAAAAAAAATCACAAACAATATAAATCTGTAAACATGGCATAAAACACGGACCCCCTGAAATTACAGAGGTGGGATAAGTTGCCCAGGAAAAGTAAGTATCTTTGAGAAATACCTGTCATTCAAGTACTATTCAGCATTTATATACCAGATTTGAATTGAAAGGTTATATCTTCCAGCGTTATTTCATAAGAAAGAGAGAGGGAGAGAGAGAGAAGGAGGGAGAGAGAGAGAAAGATCAGTATCTTACCGTCCACAATCCGCCATTTTCATCCATTTTACAATATACATCTACTGACATGTTATTTCCAGGGGGATAAATTTTGTATATTCCAGCTGATACGCTCTGTCCTTTAACACGAAGGTCATGACAGTCGATACCAAGAACTATATATATATATATATATATATATATATATATATATATATATATATATATATATATATATATATATATATATATACGGTAAGAAAAATTAAATTGAGATATACGGTAAGAAGTTGTAATTAACATCCGATCTTAATTAACCTACAAATCAAGTAGACTTTATTTATAATCATTACAAGCATATAATATCAATACTAACCATTAGGAGGGAAGTAGTGTCTCCAGCCAGTTTCAACTACTGTTATTTTTGTCCTATCACATGGATAATAGACACACTTCTTTTCTTTGGCATTAAACCCAAAGCAGCCACACGTGAAACCACAAAGAGCGGAACAAAAGGACAACGAGGAGGCATTATTTTCTGCTGGGAGTTCATTGTCTGACTTTTTGTCATCAAAATCGAGATTGGCCAAATACCTTTGAGTCACAGCCTTTGCTAATTGTAGTGACACCGCAATCAGGAAAAAACTGTGGAAAACGTACATGTTACAATTGATGAAAAACGTACGTATAAAGTATTCAACGTCTTTGTAATTTCAGAAGATGGAACGTTTAGCTTGGATAAAACGAATATAGATCCACAACTCTTTATTCATTCTGACGAAATTGGCTTTCAATAGTCGATTCTCCATTTACTACTAACGATTACCTATTGGTTCCCTAGGCTGAAGGCGGAGTTGAAGTGACAATTCTGTGCATTGAATGATATACACAGAAATTTAACGCAAAGTCCTCTTTGTAAACTTTACAAGGTAAATTATAGTTAGACCCAACGCAATCTGGAAAAAACTGTGGAAAACGCACATGTGTACTAAACCATAACTCAAAATTGTCACCTTCTATGTAAGCAAATGTCCTATTCAGTAGCACTAAGACAAATACATGTATGAATTCAAAATGCCTGATTTATCTGAAAAAGATAGGTATGTGATACTCAGTGCTGCCACTCAAAAATGAGGTACAATTATTTATTTTGGTTTAAGAGCGAATTGAAAGAAAAAATATTGTGCAGTTTAAATACAAAACAAATTAAGAGAGTCAGAGCAAACAATTACTTTTTAAAAGCTATTTGCCAACAAAATATGTTAATGTAAAGACCTGAATAAGATTGTGCCTTGGGAAAACGTTTATGAATTTCAACGGATATTTAACATATCTGAAAATTTAATTGTAAGTTCAGTTTTAGTTAGCAAGAGCGAACATATTCTACTCTTTCTTGTCGTGTCTGTAATATCATGATAATCGATTCTAAGATATAACATTGGCAAATACCAAAAATAAAGAAATACTTCAAGTTCCCTTCTGTTCCTGTGAAAACATATGAAAAGGGTTTAGACAATTAACAGTCATCGATCTCAGAAAAAAAAAAACCAATAAAGATATGTGAACAAGGCATAGAACACAGATCTCTGAACATTCCAGACGTGTATGGATCAAAAGCCGAGGAAGAGTAAGCATCCCTGTTGATGGGTTCACATCCCCTGTTGATGGGTTCACATCCTGAACCCTTTGTATTGAGCCTGTGAAAAGAATATTCTTTAGGCAAACTTAATATAAAATCAAAGGCCTGATATTTGGTATGAAATATGGCAGTACAAATACGATCAAATGATATGGGTTTTTTTTCTTAAAAGGTTATTGTAGCGACCACAGAATTTATGAAATTCTTACTTTTAAAGAGGTTGTTGAATTCTCTGTAACATCAACTATTGAAAAACTAGTCCGCTAATAAACTAGCACAATAAGTGACCATCAGAATTTCAGCACTTTGTTGGAGACCTGGTCTCCAAAGACTACATATATTATCAATGTGGAACTCCAACATCCCGTATTTAAAAAAAAAATCTTCAGAGTATTTTTTTATTCTATCCCATTCTATCGAGTATCTGATAATTTGGAATCAATTTTAGCAAAACAAAACTGTAACTCCAATCTAATTGATTAAGTTTCTTCTAAGAAATACAGAAAATTTACACTCATTCAAAAATATAAGACTATTATATGATATACTACAGAGTGTTTTTCTATATAAAATCGAAAAAGAACTCACAGATGAGTATTATAATGTTAATCAAAATAAAACAAAGGGATGAAAAAAACAACAACAACAAAAAGAACTAATTTTGCACGATGGTAATATTCATTTTAACCCATGGATCAGTGCTGTATTGATTTTAGAGTACCCCTTTAATATCAAGGAACAATATTTGCACACGAAGTTTATGGATGACAGCTAGATTTTCCCCATTTTTCTTTTTTATTCAACCTTAGGCAGATACCATACGAATTTATTAACATTTTTGTAGTTAGGAACAATACTCACAATAATGTATCTCTGTGCGTAAGTAAATGGAAATTCGCAATTCTTAAACAATGTTTTGCATTTGATACGAAACAGAAACATCAATTAATATTGTTATAAATTTATTAGAGAGACACTTTAGTTGTATTTATTTCATTTCTTTACCACGGTATTGAAAAAAAAAATCTTTCTTGAATTTGATTGGCTGGAGGTTATAAGATAGGATTAGGCATGGAAGGATTGATCTTAAAATTCTAGCGTGAATCCTGATTCCTAAATCCTATATTCTGAAATTTGCAGGCTATCCAATCCCAGCCCATGTCAACTTTTAGGAGAGAAGCACTGTACTTGTTGTCAAAATATGACAAGTTTTAATTTTTTTTCTAAAACAATTAGAAATTAAACACATCGCGCCCGAACAGGAATTGTCAAAATATGTCTGATTGAAATGTTACATTCTTTCAATTTAGGAAAGTTTTGGTATGCTTTATACCAAAACTGGTTATCTGCTGACTCAATATATAAAAAAATGTTAATGTCCCGAAGGAGAATCTGAGAAGCACCAATCATTTGGTGAGAGACTGTGCCCCTTACAGACTCTGCAGCTTGTCACCTTTTCATACAGGCGCCGTGTCAACCAGTATAGAATCGTTTATCTTTTCATACATAGTAGAATATAAACCGAGTGGCGAGTATCCTCGGGGATAGATTGTCCACCCGCAGAGATAATACTCGGTAGTGAAAATGAAATAAAAGATGAAAATAACGAACAGTGATCGATATAAAAAAAGAACCTACGAACAATATTAATCTGTTTACAGGGCTTATAAAACGGACCGCTGGACAATCAAGAGGTGAGATAAGGTGCCAAAGATGAGTAATTAACCCCTGTTTACAGCTCCCATCCGCCGTGCGCCCTTTTTTGATGAGGTAGAATAATCCTTAGTCAAACTTAGTATAAAATCAAAGGCCTACAATTTGTATGCAATATGTCAGTCAAAATACTACCCAGTGATATTGGTTATATTTGCTGACAGGGTCATTATAAGGACCATAGAATTCAAGAAATGCTGGCATTAAACGAGGTTGTTGAAATCAATTTAACATCAATGTAAATCATATACGGTACCAATTTTGATGCAACTAATATATCAGTAACCTGCCTCGGTTTAAGAGTTGATCGTCCTCGGAGCATGCTCTTGAGTGGTGAATAAGTTGGGAGTTATAAATACCATTTGCAGATGATAGCAGAATATTACTAAATAAATATGGAAAACTGACGATGGAAAAGGTAAAGACATCTCGTTTGTCATACAATTTTGTTGTTAGTTGGCCCTTATTCCTATATTCAGTAAAAAAATCTAAATATTAAACAGATGTGCCAGACTCTGTTGTGTCTTTTAATCCAACTTCACTGGGATATATCGTGTCAACATTTGAATTGAGATAACTATTGTTAAATGATATAACGCCAACGATATATCTGAATGTCGAGTTTAATATCACGGCAAGTGTTAAAAACAAGTCGGTTTATAAGTTCCAACAGTATTTTTTTCACGGAAATGTGAAGATAACGAACAGTTATGTTTCTCAAAATTCCTATTAAACAATTATATGAATTATGAGCAGAGCAAACATGGACTTCTGAAAACAGGTGGGACAAAGTGCCATGGAAGAGTAAGCATCCCCTGTTGACAGTCAAACCTAAAACACACTGTGTGCTCCTTGTCATTACCTGTTAAACTCAATATCTGTAGGCAAATTTGTGTAAAATAATGCTCTATTAATTCGTATGATAGAAGTCAAGCAAAATTCAACCCTACGACGGATTGTATTTGCAAACAAGGTCATGGTATCAACCATAGAAAATGTGAAATGGTGACCTAAAATAGGATTTTTTTTCAAATTCTAGTACCATCAACTTATTGGACGGTATTAAACTTTATTTTTAGACACAATTAATACGCAAATCATGCTCTTACATATCGAATCAATTGGTAGACATTAACCCCATAAACAAATGATAATGATATACTTCGATTTCTATGGGATATACTCAGGTATGTTAAAGAAGGAAATGGAAAATGCTTAGTACCTTCGTAATATGTATACGTTTTAACAAGATAAATGTTTACATGTAGGAAAGGGTAATACAGATACCCATAATGGATAGGTTTGTGCTTTACTCGGTACCAGTTACGTCGCATGTATCAGCTGTGTGTCATTTGACTGGTATATAAATAGAACTGCTAAGCTGAATGTAGAAAATGACGCTAGTGCAATGGCATACTCATGTTTTGGAGAAAAAAAAAAGATACAGGCTAAAAAAAGGTTTACATCGTCTACCCGAAAAGAGCTGGGAGCTAGTTTGTTCTGTTTGAAAAGTACTAGTTATTATGCCTAAAAATGCATACAGTAGCTAAAAATTCTTACTTCGCTTAAAATTCTGTAATGAATAAAAATAATGTTATGCAGATCAGAATCAGCTCCCAGCACTTTTAAAAATATACATGATATAAGCAATTGATATTCCATATTTCAGCTTAAACAGTCTAGTCTTTGCACTTGCACGCATATCGTGTTAGCAATATAATTTTCTTTTAGTTTTATTGATTGGGTTTTAAAAAAGCGATGGTTTTATATTTATTAAAGCTATTTTATAATTATTAATCCAATAGTTGCAATGGTTTCACTCCTTCGGACCACTTTTACTGCGTCAAGTCCAGGCCAGTGACGTCATTTATGACATAAGATTTGCTTCTTATTACTCGGCAGTATTGTTATCAAATGTTGTGATTTTGCATGCCTTTATTAATAAATAAATAAAAAAAATACATGCGAGTTGTTATTTACGCATCATCATGTGGTTGAATTTATTTTAGTCGCTTGTTGATATTTTCAGTGACATCACAATTAAACTTCCCATAGGGTGAACCGCAAATGTGAACTCAGGCCTTCCTTAACGTTATTTAGTATCGAATCAACTTAGGAATGAAAATGATTATTCTTAATTGAAAAAAGGTCGTTTATATAGTTTAATGTCAATTGAAGGCTACAACAAGAAACTTTTTTTCTTTTCATGTTGGAGTTTTTCAATAAAATCTTCCATAAAAGAATACTCATCCATGTATGTTCCCATGGCATTCAAAGAAGACAGAAAACTATGTGACGGATATTTTGTAG